CATGTCCTTTGGTTGGTCACTAGCTACCACAACTGGGGAGAGAATTGCTCATGCTCATGGCCCATGCTTTGGCAGGGAKAGCTCGCTTCGTGCAGAGGCCACTGGAATGTTATCAGCTACCCTTTTTGTCACTATCCTTGTCTCGCATTGTCACCAATGGTATCACAAAGTGAACCCTTGCTTTCAATCCAAATATGGAATGAAATCACAATCTCATCCTACAGAGATTTCTACAGTGAACAGTACCGAGGGGGAAAAATATAGAAAAAGTTAATTTCATTCTCAATTTGGCACTGAATTGGACAAAAACTATATTTTTTCTACAGCAACTTCTAAAAAAAAAAAAAATCTTAATATTATATTTAACCTCGTGAACTAGAAGAGGCGCTATATGGCCAGAACCACAGCTTTCATTMGAAAGAATGCTCCCAGCTGCTCCGAGGGGCGGCACTTCCCTCTGAGGAGTGTTAATGGAAGTGCGACCAGGGGGTTGTTTCACTGGAATTAAAAGTATTGACYGAGCTTGGTTTGAAGTAAACTGGAAGAATGGACAGGAGGAGCCAAAGAAGTCTCTGGCTCAGCAGGTTGTTTGTGTCGCTTCTTTTTGGAGTAGGCGTCAAAGACCAGTGAATCTTGTGTGATGCTCTCTGGTGGTTGCTTACTATGTGGCAATGATGTAAAGTACTGGGTAATTGGTCGAGTGTTGGAGACAGATGCAAGTGTTGCTTTGGTGACACTTGCCAGAATTGTCTTCTCGTAGACTTGAATGTAATATGTGAGCATAGAAGTAGATGCAGCTGTTAAAAGGGTTCCACGTCTTCTGGGAAGAGGTGGGCGTGGGATGGACATGTCTGTGATTTCAGTTCAAACAGAGTGCGGACTTTCGTTACCACCGGCTGTCGGTGCTTGGCTTGCTTCTGGGTAATTGTGYAGCCATGAAGATCTTTGTTTCGTTGTTCCCATATTGATATATAAGAGGTAATAAAGAATTCCACAAGATAACCCCCCAGCACGATTGGGGAAAATTTCTACAGCAACTTCTACTGCAAACAGTACTGAGCCCAGTCCCAAAGTTTGAACTATCCAATTGGATTCTCAATCAGACAATGAATTGGAACATTTCTCTACTCTTATAAGTAACCTGAATGACATGTATCTCCAGGACCAACATCACCATCCTTCAACTTCACTCTCCTCTGCTACAAGCATCTCCAGTTCATCTTCCCCTGCTGCCGCTACACCACCCAGTCCAATGCAGGTTACTTTTTTCAGTGACAGCAGGGCGCTCATGACTAGACTCCAATCCAGAAGTGAATACAAAGAAATCTATGCCAATGCTACTCTAGCACCAGAATTTGACTTGATTGAACAGATCTTTCAAACAGTTCAGTCTCCACACATCACTTGCTCATTCTCTTGGGTGAAAGGTCACCAGGATGACAACATTGCCTTTGATCAACTTCCTCTGCMAGCCCAACTGAATGTAGAKGCTGATAGTTATGCTGGGGATTTTCAGGCTCAGATGGATCAACCGAATTTCATCACCCCAGTTTTGCCTTCATGCCCYGCTGTGCTTCAGATCCAATCAGGCTCTGTCACCAGCCAATACAAGAGAGCTCTCACAGATTCATGTCTGCTCCCCCGATATCACGCATACTTGACAGAGAGAAACCAGTGGCTTCCACGGGTCCTTGCCAATATTTCATGGAAGTCCCTGAGCATTGCTATAAACCGCATCTCCAGGAATGTCTTGGTCACCAAATGTTGCAACAATATTCTGCCCACTGCAACTGTTCTCAAAAGATGGAAATACAAAACCCATGATACTTGCTGTCTCTGCCTGATGCCTGACGATTGTGAGCATCTCTTTTGATGTTCTCATCCATCACGACTACGTTGGAGAAGGCAAACCATTACATCTCTACGCCAACAGATGTCCACACTTGGCTTCTGGCCAATTGCCATTGACACTCTTGCTACTTGTCTTACCGAATGGCTAGACACTGGCGAAGTTTCTCCAGCAAAATATTCTACATCCCTCTATCCAGTTATTCATTTCCAGAGCGAGATTGGGTGGCACCATGTGTTTGCCGGTCACATTTCGCTTCAGTGGTTTACTRATCTTGATCTTCATTCTGGCTCCTATTCCCCAATTGTGCTGGGGGGTTATCTTGTGGAATTCTTTCTTACCTCTTATATATTGATATGGTAGCAGCGAAACAAAGATCTTCATGGCTACACAATTACCCAGAAGCAAGCAAAGCATCCACAGCGAGTGGTGAGGAAAGTCCGCACTCTGTTTGCACTGAAATCACAGACATGTCCATCCCACGCCCATCTCTTCCCAGCAGAAGACACGGAAAACTTTTTATTAACTGCATCTACTTCTATGCTCTCATATTACCTTCGAGTCTACGAGAAAACAATTCTGGCAAGTGTCACCAAAGCAACACTTGCCTCTGTCTCCAACACCCGACCAATTACCCAGTACTTTACATCATTGCCACATAGTAAGCAACCGCCGGAGAGCGTCACACAAGATTCACTGGTCTTTGACGCCTACTCCAAAAAGAAGCGACACAAACAACCTGCCGTGCCAGAGACTTCTTTGGCTCCTCCTGTCCATTCTTCCAGTTTACTTCAAACCAAGCTCAGTCAATACTTTTAATTCCAGTGACACAAACCCCTGGTCGCACTTCTAGTTCACGAGGTTAAATATAATATTAAGATTTTTTTTAAAGGCATAACACATTCAAATAGTATTAAGCAAGACCAAAATAATAAAAAAGAATAATTCAAATCGCCCTAATATTGAGCTTATTTCGATAGTAAACGTGTAACAATGACACATAGTGGACCGGAGGAAGTATTACTGTAGTGGTTTCGGGAATGACCCATTTTTTGACTATTGGTTTCTCCCCGGACCGGAGGAGTTTAGCGAGCATTTTTCTCGTTGAAGGAGCTTCGCTTCGATTCGTTCCTAACGCAATCAATTGGCAAGTGTCACTTGGCATCTACAACTCGGCAAATCGAAGAGTAATAATTCGAAATCACAGTTCTCCCCCATACCTCGTGCCCAAGTGACAATAGAATCTGAGCCTCTTTATTTTTGTGTTTTTTTTTCTATCACAGACGAGTCTCTTTAACCCTTCTAGTAAAACACTTGATTTTACTATCGTTACCGCAGATCTTGTCGAAGCTTGGAAAAGATTTGGATTCCGACGAAATCTAGACTCAAAACTAGTTCCCTCCGACGAAGAGAATCCATAATCTACCCAGAAAACAACGAAGAAGAAATAAATTTTTAAAATAAAACAAAGTGGAATACAAACATGGCGTTCGAGGAACACGACGACACACCCGTCCCGAGCTCCAAGAGCGGGAAACACTTCGAGGAGTTATACCGACTGAAAGGAGTGGTGAGTGTTACCATTGATTCTCAACGGTACAACGCAACGCGAGGAACAAGCTCCCATATCTTTGGATTGGGTCATTGCTTTGCCGTGCCTTGCTAATTTTGTTTATGATGGTTGGTAGTGAAGCCATGACTGCTTCCGTATGTTTTGGGAAGTTCTGCCTGTTTTTGTTGTTGTTCTCTCTCTGATACTTTTAAACCCTTTTTCTTTGCTTCAATGCTGGTTCTTGGTTGTTGACAGCTGGGAACGGGAGCCTTTTCGACCGTTCGAATGGGATACCATCGATCTGACAGCGAGAAAACATATGCTATCAAGTGCGTCAACCGAAAGAAGCTAACGAACGAAGACGAGGTCGCTCTGCTGGACGAGGTTTCCATCCTGAAAGAAATGAAGCACGTGAACATCATTAGACTTTTCGATTTTTTCAAAGAACCAACATCATACTACCTCGTCATGGAAGAGATGGACGGAGGCGAGCTTTTCGATAGGATCGTCGCAAAAGCATATTATAACGAAAAGGAGGCCCGGGATACTTGTAAGATTCTGGTTGACGCCGTTGGATACCTGCACGAGAATCAGGTAGCGCACCGGGACTTGAAACCCGAAAACCTGTTGCTGGTCAGCAAAAACGACGACTCGCAGGTCAAAATCGCAGATTTTGGATTCGCAAAGAAGGTGCTAAAGCCAAAGAGCCTCACTACACAGTGCGGGACACCGGGATACGTTGCGCCCGAGATTCTCGAGGGACACCCGTACGACGAACGAGCCGATATGTGGTCCGTCGGCGTCATCCTCTACATTCTCTTGGGAGGCTACCCCCCTTTCATCGAGAACACTCAGCGAGAGCTCTTTCGAAAAATCAAACGAGGAGACTACGAATTCCACGAGGAATATTGGGGAACGGTTTCGAAGGAAGCAAGAAACCTAATCAAATCCCTGCTGACCGTTGATCCAGAACTCCGACTCAGTGCCCAGCAGTCGCTCGAAAATCCATGGATTTGCGGAGATGGCAAGACGCTGGCAAAGAGAGGCCTCGACAAAAACCTCGAGTCACTCAGGGCCTTTAACGCCAAGAGAAAGTTCAAGGCCGCGGTATCAACAGTTGTGGCTGTCAACAAACTCAATTCGCTTGGAAATGCCTTTAAGAACCTAGACATGGCCGACGAGGAGAGTCCATAGATAATAAAATTTATGTTTCAAACTAAGAAACGGGTGCAGAGTATCATTTGTCGTGGACCTACGTATCGAGACGGTGTTGAGTTTTCCTTGTAGCTATCGGAAATACGATGTTTAGATCAGCGAGGCAAGTACCAATAAACTTTGGGAAGACTTCCTCGGTTGACATTTTGGTCTCTTTCATTCATTTGGGGCTCAACATGGTCCAGACAGTAACGAAACAATTTTATGACGTGGTAAAATTCTTTTTGCGACAGTATTATTGGGAAATAAGTGGTCACCACTATTTTTTTGAATGAATAGGTTTTTCGTCTTGAAAGATAACTCTGAGACATCGCTGCTGCAAGATCAAACTGTGGTGTGATGAAATCAAACAATATCTTTTTTCGCAAAGAAGCATTTCTTGCAGCTGACAAAAGTTCAACCCCGGAGCAGTGCTTCAGTTGACTTTCTCCGAGATTCCATACGTTCACACCTATATTTATCATAGAATTGTCGTACTTCATATGATGAAAATATTGCATCGTTCATTCTTGTTGCTTTTGTCTTCTAATTTATTTGTTGATCATATAGTACCCCATGCTTTCTTTTGTTACCATGAATTGCTTCCATGATTTCAAATGGTGGTAATTCTTTGTTAGTTCAAAATTGTAGCTTTCGAAATGTAGGATAGACTAGGATAGGCTTCGATGAGGTACGAGTTTCCCTTCTTTTGAATCAAAGCCTGGTTAGGCCCTTTGCCTCCTGGTGCACCTTCACCGTATCCAGCGTACAGCATGTCAACAATCTCCATTCCATCAAGAACAACTCCGAATGGAGAGAATCMTTGCTTATCCAAGAACGCGTTGCCTTGCTTTCGTGTGTTAATAAAGATTTGTGTGGTGCGTGTGTTAGGTCCTGCGGTGGCAAAGACAACAGTTCCTCGACTGTTGGTAACCTTAACGGGATCGTCGGGTATGCTGCTGCTGCGCCATTTGCTCATGACGCCTGGGTCGCCATTGATCCCAAATTGAGCAATAAATCCCGGAAGCACACGGAAGAATCGACAATCGTTGTAAAATCCATTCGCAACAAGTTCCTGCGGCGGGTTTCAGGAAACGATCAGTGAAGTGAGAGAAGGTCATATATCAGTAAAAAGTAAGGCTTTGTAAACGATAGTGTCAAGTACTTACTTCAAATCTCGCTACACCTCGCGGAGCCCAATCAGGCTTCATTTGGATCTTGATTACTCCAGATTCGCCGCCATCGAGGTTGCTTACTTGAATCTCTACAATTCTTCCCCCAGAGGAGCTCGTGTCAGTCTCGTCCGCCAAAACGGGAAGCGGCTTGACACCCGTTCCTGCCACGAGAACCGAGGCACCAAACAATCGCTTCACGGAAGAGAAGAAGCCTCTTCGTTCCTGGTCATTGTTGTCCTTTAGGTGCAAGGTTGTGGATGATCGCCTTGGGATTTGGGCAAGTGCGGGGCCCGTGCTGAAAGCATCAATCTTCTTGGTGGTTCTCACCATTACTAGAGCCATCACCATCAAGCCAAAGAGGTAGTACTTCATTTTGTACATGATTGTGAACTCTTTGTATAGTTTTCCACAAGGAATGGCTGCGTGTCTTGTTCTTCAGTCTTCTTGTTAATTCTTAACAACGATCCTCTAGGTACCCTAGTTTGCGAAGAATGCGATTCTTGGTTTGTGGATGGAGTGGGTATATTTTGAAATAAGAGTTTCTTTTCTCCAGTCAAATTCAAGAGCGAAATAGCTGTATTGACCAGCGATAGAAAATGAGAAAGTAGCCGCTGCGTTGTTAGTCTTCTCCAGGGTACTACTCGTACCTGGTACTCGTACCTACGGTAGTGTGTGAAGGCACAGGGCTCAAGGTTGGCAAACCGTATGTGATGCAATGTTTTGATGAACCGGTACGTACGGTACGAGTACACGTACGTACCTTTGTCAATTTTTTGTGATTGATAACAGCACAGTTACGTCAACGCGTGAGTGAAACTGGAAATAACCATAAATTTGAGCTGACAGTCTTGCTTACGGTACTGTACAGTCTTGCGCATAACTGTAAAGCGATTTGTTTAGCAAGAATAAAAATTTGAGCTACTACGCGTTGCATAACAATTGAAATTACGTTACTGGGACGTTAGAAAACGACTCATAACCAGATACTTTAAGCTACTGGACCTACGGCTAAGTTACTGAGTCACGTACGACTCATAACCGGGTACTTTAGGCTACTGGACCTATGAGCCACGTGCCTACTGACAGGGGTCATAATTTAGAGGGGTATGCAACGCGTCGAAACTCATATTCCACGTGCGGTCCAAATTTCCAAAAAGTCACTCAAGGATTTTTTTTCATTCTCATTTTTACTGCATAATACTAGTAAAACTATCCAACCTTT